ATTAATTCTCCTTATAAATACCATTAACATTACTGTTCTTTCCTTACTATCCCTTAAACTGTATATAGCACAATTTTTATGAAAATGTGATACATAAATTCGATACCGGAAAATCACTTATTATTACAAACAATAAAATTTTTTAAATTTTTCGTAGTTATTTACATATTATTTAAGTTCATAACATTAGTTATTCAATACAACTTTTGTTAATTATTTTTATTGGTAAAAATTTATATTCTAATAATAAGTATTTTTTTAGAAAATTTCACGAAAAATAAAAAGAAAACTTCACTCCTTGTGGAAATTGTTATAGAAAAAAATGACACTATTAAATCTTATACCATTTTTATTCCTCAGAACTTGAAGTTTAAATTTATTAAAGTTAATGTAAAGATATAATTAGTAAAATCTTCACCTTGTATGTATTAAATTTTTCGGAATGTAAAAAATTTTTATTCTTGATAAATAAAATTAATTAATCCTCATTTAAATTGATATTTTGTTCTTCATGATAAATTTTAAAACAGTTTCTATTATTATTACAACACAATGGAACATCACATAATGTACACCAAATATTAGAGAAAGAAGGTCTTTTATCTTTACCTATTAATAAATACCTACACAATACACATGAGTTTCTTTTATCACTTCTCCATTCTACAAAATGGTTACCAATCATCAATCTTTCAGCAGGAAGTTGATATTTAGGTGTTATGTATATTAATTTTTTGTCTGGAAAGGAGGAAGAGGAAGTAGGAGTAGCTTGTTGATTATTCCGTGTTGTCATTCCTAAATACATTTTTTCTTTCAAAGCATCTTCTATCAATGTCCATAATAATTGTAATCTAAAGACTTTGTGAGGTAAATTATTTCTTAATATGTTACTTCTTTTATAAATCAAATAAGAATTAACTATTGCTGTGTCAAGCAACCAAAAAAACAAAGGAACCCAAGTACGTCGAGCTGTTAATTGAGTTGAATAATAGCTTCTTAATTGATCAGCTAAATCAACTCCATTCATTTTATAATTATAATCATCAACTACACTAGGAATATCTATAAGTTTTTTTGGTTGGTTGCCAAAAACTTCAGTTATAGCTTCTCGATTTGTGTTAGTAATCCTTGGGCAGCGACGAACCTTTGCAACTTTAGAGTTTGGTCCAGTAATTTTATGAATTGTGGTTAGCATGGTTACAGGGCCATTATCTATCCACAAAAGAACTAAAACTTCATCAACTACAACACCTGAAAGTGTATTCCATTTTATACCACCTTTCTCCTTTAGCTTTAATTCACTGGGAAATTTAGCAGAATTTTTACGAACTGTTCCACATGCACCAATTCCTTTATCTCTTAAATATTTAAATAAACTAATACTTGAAAAGAAGTTATCCATGTATACACTAAAGGATCTATTAGTTGGTAATTTATTTATTAAATGAAAAACTTCGGATCCAGTTTTAGTCAATCCTGGAATTTTTTCTATATTTGAATTTTCTTTAATTCGGGAAGAAAATATGAATGTAAAAGTGTAGCCAGCATCACACAATGATAAAATTTTAAACCCTTCAGGAGTTAATTTATTTTTTATTCTAAAAGTATGAGCACTTCTTCCTGAGAACATTGCAATCATTTCATTAATAGAAACATCTGATGCTGGTATATAAATAGATTCAGAAACTTTCCTAATATGTGTAGACAAGGGTTCAATTTTTGAAAATAAGGTAGATTGATTTTGTGTATCATTAGGGTCTGAAATATGGAAGAATCTTTTAATCTGATAAAATATTTTTTTAATAATCAAGTTAGTTTAGTTTAGTGATATATTAAATGTACATAATGCCACATGCTTGTTGAAATCTAATTAGAGTCATATTGAGTTATTTTATGTTTAGGAACTTTATCATCTGTGTTCCAATAATCTGAGACAGATGGAAATTTAAAAAGACCCATATATATTAATATTCCTAACCAAATTTTCAATTCAGGAACAGTCAATGGATACCAATCTCTTCCTGTTCCAGCATCTTTATCAATTGCATACAAATTAGTATTTATGACAAGTTGATTAAAGATTTCATTTGTGAAAAAAAGCATAAAAATTGAAATTGGATTCAATTCTGTTAATAAATTTAATTCATGAGGCAATTTTACAATTGCATTGTGTAAATTGTATCTATGCACTAATGGTATAAATTCTGGAGGAGGTGGATATTAGAGTCATTATCATCAATTTGGGCTTTTTTCTTTTTTTTTTTTTTTGTATTGCTTCTACTACTTGTAGATTCTTCGGTACTATTTTCTTCTCTTATATCATCACTGATTTCAATAATATCAGTTGAAGCAAAGGTGTCAATATTCTCATTAACATTAGTTACTTCAGAATCCTCAAATTCTTCATGTTCATTCCGTTTCAAAAAAAAATTGAATTCATCCTCATCCTCTGCATCTAAAAAACCTTCATATTTGTAAATATTAATATTTGAAGAGTCCATTTTTTAATTAAAGTTTAAATAAATAAAAAATTTTATTGCAGTGTTAAAAAAAAAATTAATACAAAATGATCGGTAAAGTAAATTTTTTTTGTATATACCTTTACTTTGCACGATCATTTATCACCAAGAACAATATGTAACACTTTGTTTTTTCTTTAATGGGTTAATGATACAATCTCAAAAATCATTTTTTAATTAGGAAATTATGTGTAAAAACTGCATGATAAAAATCTTTGTGTCTTACAACAAATCTGCAGCATATATGCTGCAGAAACAGTTTAAGGCAGGGTTGGCAAATGTGTGGTCCATTGATGGTCCATTGGTGGTCTATTGGGTCCATTGGTGTAACATTTTAACCATATTTAGTATTTTATTAATTGCAATGGACCAGTCCAAAATCCAACTGTTCTCAATGGACCAGTCAATTTGCCAACCTTGGTTTAAGGGATAACTATTATATACGTAATTTTGAAATTGTAAAAAAATAAAAACAATCATTTTGGTAAAAGTCGCGTTTTATTTGCTTTGGTGAGTAGACAAAGGTTTAGGACTAATGTTGATTGGTTGACAACGATTTGTCCAAAGGTCAATTGAAAATATTGGTAGTGTTATTTTAAATCGTAAACGTAAGACCGTTAAACAAACTGCTTTAAGTTGTTTAAAAGGGATTTTATAGAGGGCTTTGAGCTTTTGTAAACGAGTTATATCTATTTATTTATAGTTATTTGGTATCATCAAGTGTGCCCAGAGATTCGCCGAAACTTACTAGGTACAAAAAAGAGGCAGTAAAGTAAATTCATAAACTAACTAATTGATAAATACCGATTTATTGTGTATTGCTTGCGATTAACTGACAAGAGTAGCACAAAAGTTAAACCATCATCGACATGTTTGTTAAATAATCGGCATTAACTGAAAGGCTACCTTACACTATTTTTGTTCTTCTGCCCAGCATGACATGCCATCATATTCTGATTGGCGACTTATAGATTTGGTTGTTAATTATTTCATAAATGGTGTAGACAGAAAATTATCATGGATTTGAATGATCAATTTATTTAATAAAACTTTCAAATATTTTATTTCAATATCTTTATTTATTTAATCCTAATAGTTTGTTGATTAGTTAGTCAAATAATTAATCAACAGAAAATAACAATAAGAATAATAATAATCAAAATAATAATTATTACCTGTGATGCTTTCTTCATTAATAATTTCTGTAATTTTCTTTAAAATCAGAAAGTTTTCATAATCATCATTATTATAATTATAATAATCCAACCAAAACCTTTTTTGTTTAGGGGGTTTAATCAACTCTCCCTTTACTTCTTCTTCTTGATCAATGCTATCTTTTATATTATTTTTCATCTGGTTCAATTTCCTTAAATAATTTTCTTTCACAGCCCATGTCAAGAATCTACGATTAGTTACTGGCTTCAGATGTTGTAATTCTAATGTGGTATAAACAGTCTGGCAAATTATTGAAAAATTTTCAATTGTAATTTTTGTGTACGGTGTTATTAGATTGGTGGCAATAATGGATGATGATGATTGTCGAATAGGTCGATGTAAATAGATCTTAGAAACATATGGTGATAGAAAGTAGTGTATGGAAAGGGTTGATAATGTACTTCCAAAAAAACCTTTGAGATATTATTATATTTAAGTATTTAAACAAATTATAATAATGATAATTGGTATAACTAATTATAACTAATCATATGCTAGTTACCTAGTAATAAATAAGTGCTATCTAATCCTGCTGCTTGCACTATTTTAACATATATATTCATATATATTATTAAAAATCAAGCTGACAATTTCTTCAAATGAAACTAAAATTAACACACACATACTATTCGGAGTATCCCAATAATATAAAATATATGGAGCACTAAGTGCAATAAACTATAATTAGTTCTCAAAAAAAAAAAAAAAAAAAAAAAAGTTTTTTATGATAATGAAAATTAGTTAATCAACAAATTTTGATATAAAGAATATATGTAATCCAGATATACTCACACCCAAAGTATTGATAGAAAAAAATTTTATTAATTTAACAAATTTTGCATTTGGTCCTTGAAATATCAATTGATTAGTAATAGGTGTGCTGTTATTAGATGTTGTCGATATTGTGGTAGGTATAGTTGCATTATCATTATTATTGCTTTTATTGTTGTTGTAAAAATGTGAATGTTGTTGATTAATTATAATTTTTTCTGAATTTTTCTTTGTCTTGAGAAAAGTAGGTACAAAAGAGTAGTGATGCTTTGGAATGGTCGGAATTGAATTTCTAACAAATATTATTGGTTTTAATCTTGTTATGGGTTTTAAGGAATGATTTGTTCTATTAATTCTGATAAACATTTTAAATTGGGAAAAATTTTTTAAAGAGAATTTTCATTATTTTCGTGTTACAAACAATTATTTTGTATAAAGCGGTTCAAAAACGAGAATAATTAATTCCCATCTTTCATTTAAGAACTCACACAAACCATGACTCGAATACCGCTTCACTCAATAAAAAGTTGTTATAACTTACTTATTATCACTATAATTATTTTTTCATTCGTTTCATACTCACAACAACTAGAAACGACAATAGAGGATAAGCCACAAATCAGAAAAAGAGATTACGACAAAAGATTTTATTATGCAATAGAGGTAGCGAATGATCTCATCATTACCCCAAAAGATGTAGAGAATCTACTAAATATAAAACACGAGGGAAGAATTGGTGAACTTGATAATTATCATTTGTTTAGCTCAGCAAAAGAAGATGTAACAATTGAACATTACGATAAACGCTTTTCGCATCTTGCCGAGGATAATGATCGTGTGTTAAAAAGGTTTAACGAGTTGAGAGAACTTCGAAAAGGAGATTTGGGATCATCAACTATTAATAAACGATCTCTTGAAATCATTGATGGAATATTAAGCGTGGACAAACAAATACTTAGAAAAAGACACAAACGAGTACCACTTCCACCACCTACTCCATCACCAACAGATAATTCTCATAAATTCCTGGATCCAGATGAAATTGGTAAATCAATAGGAATTCACGATCCAGGATTTAAATATCAATGGCATTTGGTAATAATAATAATAATAATAATAATAATAACCATATTAAACAACATTCAGGGATATTGATTTTAACTATAAATTATTATTGTATATAGCTTAATTTAAATGAAATAGGACATGATATTAATGTTACGGGCATATGGAAAGAAGGTATTTATATTTTTTAAATGTTCTCTCCCCACAACCCCCTCCCCTCCCTTCTCCCAATATATATTCACAAATACACGTATATAGAAAGAAACATAGTGCAAATGAAATTTATATAATTATTTATTACAAATTTGTGAAATTTCAAATTTTTTGATTTGAAAAAAAAACAAAACTCGTACTAATACAATAGATGATTGATTGATTGATTGATATCTCCATCATAAGGAATAACGGGCAAAGGAGTTGTTGCTGCTATTGTAGATGATGGATTGGACATGTATAGTGAAGATTTGGCTGATAATTTTGTATGTTGTAGGCAAAATATAATAATATAAATCATATTTATTAACATAATAATAATAGTAAATAGTAATAATATTTAATCTCTATAAAAAATAAAAGTACGCAGAAGGATCATATGATTTCAATGATCATAATCCACTACCAAAACCTCGTTTAATTGATGATACGCATGGAACAAGATGTGCCGGAGAAATAGCTGCCGTGAAAAACAGTGTATGTGGTATTGGTATTGCTCCAGATGTCAAAATAGCAGGTATTTTAATAGTGTAATGATAATTGTAATTATGATTATTACTATCTTTATAATTAAAATTAACAACAATACAACAATATTATTATATTTAAGGTATAAGAATATTGTCTGCACATATATCAGATGCTGATGAAGCGGAGGCTTTGAATTATAAATTCCAAAAGAATGACATATATTCATGTAGTTGGGGACCACCTGATGATGGGCAGTCGGCAGAGGCACCTCAAGGTGTGATACTTAAAGCGATAGTAAAAGGAATAGAAAAGGGTCGTGGCGGAAAAGGAAGCTTGTTCGTTTTTGCATCCGGTAATGGAGGTGCCAATGATGATAACTGTAATTATGATGGCTACACCAACAGTATATACACATTAACTGTTGGAGCTGTTGATCGTAAGCATGTACTCCCCTACTATGCCGAAAGATGTACTGCCTTATTAATCACTACTTATAGTAGTGGCAGTGGAAGTTATATTGTATGTATGGATTTCGTTATAATTATTTATTTTTTCCTTTGTCGATTTCAATATTATACTAAGTTTATTATGTGTAAATAATAATATTAGTATACAACTGATGTGGGCGTTAAGAAATGTACAAATTTGCATGGTGGTACATCTGCAGCTGCACCAATTGCAGCCGGGGTTTTTTCATTAGTATTGCAAATAAGGTAAAATAATAATAATAATAATAATAATAATAATAATAATAATAATAATAATAATAATAATAATAATAATAATAATAATAATGCGTGTGTATGCATGTATTTACTTATTTATATTTATATTGTATATATTTTGCAGGCCTGATCTTACATGGAGAGATATGCAATACCTAGTATTGAATAGTGCAATGACATTTAATTTAGAGGATCCTGATTGGCAACTAACCAAAGCAGGGCGACTTTACAATTATAAATTTGGATATGGAAAGTTGGATGCATATACTTTGATCCAGAATGCAAAAACATATAAACTATTGAATCCACAGGTTAACATTGAGATGCCAATAATTAACGTTACTAAACCTATACCAATGAATCAAGAAGGAATTATTAGTAAGGTGGTTGTGAAGAAATCAGATGTTGACAAAGCAAATATGAAAAGATTGGAACATGTAACTGTGACTATTAATGTTATTCATGAGAGAAGAGGTGATATAGAGGTTGATTTGATAAGTCCAAATGGTATTGTTTCTACCATTGGATTACCAAGGATGTATGATGAAAATATCGGTGGACTTAATAATTGGACATTTATGAGCGTTAAACATTGGTTAGTGTAACTGATGTTTTTGAAAAAATTTATTTTATTTATTAGTAATTTTAATATTAAATACTAAATTTTTAGGGATGAATCACCAATTGGTACGTGGACGATACAAGTTCGCGATAGAAGAAATCCAAAATTTAATGGAATATTTGTAGATTGGATGTTGAAATTATGGGGCGAAAGAACTGATAATAATGAAAGTGGCAAAAATAGTAGTGATACCAACAATAATTCAGATAAAACCTCTACTACAATAATAACCAATACCACCCCTTCAAGCATTGCAGAGTCAATATTATCTTCACAGACATCAACCAAATCAACTGATGATAATAATATCAAACCATCACTACCAATACCAATACCATCATCATCACCACCAGTAAGTGATGACAATAATAAGATATCAACATCTACAATACCATCATCACCACCAGTAAATGATGACGATAATAAGATATCAACAACAAACAATCCTATTTCAACAGAAACACAACCGGCTACTACAAATGCAGCTGATAACAACAACGATGATAGTAGCAGCAGTAGTAGTAACAGCATCAATAGTAATTGGATTTGGGGTATTGGAGTAGTTATGGCGTTTACATTGGCATATATGGTTTATGCGACTAGGAAATGGTATTGGGATGATGTGAAGAAAATAGTATCTGAAGTATTCTCTAGGAGAACATATGCATCGGTGTTACGACAGCCATCTGATCGAACATCTAATGATGAGGATGGTGACCTTATTCCATTGACAAGAGGCAATAAACAATTCACGACATCAAGAGAATTGTTTGATGCATTCGGAGATGAGGAGGAGGAGGAGGAGGAAGAAGAGATGGTAATGATGGGAGATCGACAGGTTGTATATGAAAATTCATATATGGATGGTTTTATAAATGATGACCATATTAATGATGATGATGATGATGATAATGTTGGCGGAAGTGGCGGTGATAATAATGATCAACAAAATTAAGAGATAGTAAGCAAAGGAGAAAATGATGATACATAATTACAACAAGGACAATAGAGTAACAAGGATGTCATGTGACATTTATTTATTAAAAAAATAACGTAGATTAAATTTATAGAATCTTATTTTCATTTTAAAAATATTAATATTTATTATTACTAATGTTTAAGCAAGAAATTAAATTAATTTATAATAATAAAATATAATACCACTTTATCACATAATAATAATCGAACAATTAAAAGTTATTTAGTGCACATCTTCGAAAAGATCTCGTATTTCTCTACTCATTGACAACAATGGACTTTCTTGATCTGTTAACTGCGGCATTGGAATAGTAACACGATGTTCATTATTAAATGGTTTTTTTCTATTTTTACTCATTAATTATGCTGCTGGTATTATTTTCTCTATCACCAAAACACCATTCCGATATATAAAAAGTTTTCCTTCGCTATTTTCAAATTGATTCATGCCCGCTAAAAACGAATTATTTTTCGGTAACTTCGACTTGGTTCCCTTGAACGGGGGGTTTTCAATGCGAGAAGTTTATTTTGCAACAAAAATTATTTTTTTTCTAATGACATACCGATGGTGGTGGTAATATTGGCTTGATTAAGGAAAATTGTTAAGGCTAATTGATAATGCTATATATGGTTAATAGAATATTTTGAAAAATACTTTTATTATTTCGAGATTCACCAAACATTATACAGTCATACCTCTCTCCACATATGTTGGGAACCAATTTCATAGAAAAATCATCTCCATATAGGGAAAAACCTCTCTACAAGAACATCTGGAATGTTCCCGACAATTTTATGTTAAACTAAACCCTTTTTATTATTCATTAATTACCACGTTATTTAATGGAGACATTAATGTTTAGCATGTTTCAATTACAAATTTAAAACACCACTAACCAATTTAAATAAAATATCATTTTCAGCCATTTTATTGTTCTTGGAAATTGTCCTTTGTTACTATTGGATTAATTATCCAGTGTTGATCATTCCCGATTTATTTGAAAATATATTTATACCTAAAATTAAACTGTAATGGAAAAAATGCAAACTTTATATTTTTCATTACATATTTATTTATTTGGCGCACAAATCAAATATATACTTTTTTGGCATAACTCTCATTTATTTGTAAATTGTTAAATTTCTGATTACCCAAGAATGACTTCAGACACGTAGAGAGTAAATTCGTCATCATAAATATTTTTCATTTCGTTATTAACAATAATAATAATCCAGGAAGTAGATAACTTTATTATTGATTATTATTACCAACTCTACCACTTTTCGTAAGTAATTATTACTTGATATTAAAATATAAAATGAATCATCGAATTCTTCTTCTTATTATTTTTTTGTTTATTCTGCAACCACATAAATCATGCATATACCCAATTCGATTAATTACATCATAGAATAAAAGCATTAAAAAAACGCCACCAATATTTTGAAATGAAACCTTTGAAATTTGTTAAATTAAAATTTATATCACAATAATAAATAACCTTTATACTTTTTATATTTTAACAATGATCAATGTGTTGTTACTTAATAGATTGCGTGTGAATAAACAATATGAATCAAGAAATTTTATCAATAATAGGAACATAATACTTATTGTTAAAAATTCCCACTCTTCGCAACATAATAAATAATAATATGAAACTATTTACGCTGACTTCTTCCCTTTCAAGTTGGTTATAGAACATTCTGGGTATATTTTCAATTAATATAAGTAGTTTTAAGCGTAAGATACGAGTAATTTAATAATTTTTGAAAAAATTTTTTTTTATAAACTTTTTTAAAATTTTTTTTTAAAACATAATTTTTTTTAAAAAATGAGATCTTCATTTGCAAAGGGACGTGCACTTGAACTTGAGGTTGTCAACAAATTGAGGGATGCGGGGATTGAGTGCGAACATATTGGGTGAGTGTTTTTCACAGAGTTATTTTGTCGAGTTCTTTGATGATGACACATTATACTCATTATTATTGTTTATTGTTTATCTATTATACAGCGGGCCGGGCGACATGGAAATCGATATTAAAGGAGTTGCCTGCAGCATCCCGTTTGTTGTACAATGTAAAAATTGGAGAAAGAAAATAGGTATTATATCAATTATTTATGCGAATCACATTAATTAAGATAACTTTCAATTAATTAATATCAAACATTTACAGGTCGTCCGGCGGTGTACGAATTGGAGGGGGTTCTCCTGAGGCAGGCAAGGGAGACGATTGGCATCTTGGTTGGCCGATCGAAAGAAGCTGGCTTCGCGCCTAGTGCGTGGACCGCAGCTAATACGTCGATATTTGATATTGTTCTCACGGATGTGGCTAATATTATAGAGGATTTGTCTTTAGTCGCTGGTCGACTAAATGATAATTCCAGAGCTCTTAATTTATTTTTTTCTTTTTTATTTTTTTTAATTTTTATTTATATAATTATTTTTATTTTCTTGTATATATTTTTTTAATCGTAAGTCTTCGTCCGTGGGAACACTATCTTATATCGACGTTTTATCTGATTCTTTCCCCGCTCATTGTAAATATTGTAAATATTTTTTTTTTTTTCTTGTATATATTTTTTTGTTTTACTTGTATATATTTTTTTTTTCTTGTATATATTTTTTTTTTCTTGTATATATATATTTTTTTTTTCTTGTATATATTTTTATTTCTTAGTTACATAAATATAAATAATTATTTCTTTGGTATTTTATTTTTTTAAAAAAAAAATCGTGCGTATCCAATGATCAATCAAGTGTCGTTTTCAGACGGTAATTGTTTTAAAATTGAAGCATGTAAGGAAGAGATAAGGTTACTGTGCTTAAATCTGCAGTTGAAAAATCAAGGTCACAAGACCTTTTCATATTTATAAGAAATAATTAAAATAATTTTTGAGAACAATTTCACTTTGAAGGTTAATAAAATAAAAAAGATTTATATTTCAATGTTTTCTCTTCGTAAAAAACAAATGATATATGTTTTTACACGTATTAATATTATGATTAAATATTACTTATTTTTTTAATACAACTACAACCAAGTCAAGCATACGGTAATGTGGTGTAGTGTTTAAATATTAATATTAATATACTTTACACTTTCTATAATGGTTTACGAAAAAATGTCCATTATAGTAATGATTCACACATGGGTCATAAATTGAGCTTAAATTATAGAGCAAAACCCGTTATTATTATTATTATTATTATTATTATTATTATTATTACTATTTATATTATTATTAATATAGAAAGATAGATCCGTTATAGAAAGAATGAACTGTAGTTACTATTTTTTTTAATAATTTATTTCAAAATTTTGAACAGTTATCTTAAGTTCAAGTTTACATACCACGGGAGTTGAAGCTTTAATATGTCCTTTATAATAACATTAACGGTCATGAAGCACTTAAACACTTATTATCTGTTATAAGTACAGACGTAATAACCTTTAAATCGCAAAATAAAACCATGTAAAAAAAAAAAAAACATGACGACGTCATATTTTTTAGTGTGTATGTGTATACGTGCAATTTTTTCGTTGATGGGTTATTCATATCCATAACAATTTAGATAAATTTTATCTTGCTCGTTTTCATCAACATTAAAATTAATGGTTTTTTTTTATTTTATTAAAGAAATAACACGCGTTTCAAAGAGGATGTTATTTTTTTATCTTCAACAATGTTTAAAATGTCGAAACTCTGCTGGAGGAGTTTTGACAAGCAACCATATTTACTCCCATCATTTATTTCATTTTTTATGTGTAACTTTTTCCACTACAATAACGATGGGTAATTTTAATATCCTTAAATAGGAGATTTTTTAATTTGTAATATACATTTAAATATTTATTTATTATAGAAATCTAAGTTGAACATAACTTTACGTTGTTCTATTACTGGGCTTAATTGTTATATAATTTTACCTTTTGTATATATTTTAATTAGATAAATGGTGCCTTATTGTCATAAAAAAAAATCACATCGTAGTTACATGATGCAAATACAAATTATTATTCCTTTGGTATTTAGCTGTCGAAATAATTATGTAGAGATTGAAATTAGTGGAAAGATTTTGGTGACCTTGATTTTTCGACAGCCTTCAACTGCAGATTTAAGCACAGTATCTCATCTCTTCCCTATATATTTCAATTTTAAAACAATTACATGTAAAAAAATACTTGAATTAGGGAGTGATCGACCATATATACATTTTTTTTAACATACATAAAAGAAGAAAAGGTTGCCGTGTTACGGTGCCTTACTAAATGTCGTAATCTGTGTAGATTTTTTAATATTTCTTTTTTTTTTTTTTTTTTAATATGTTTCCCTAATCTAACGACTTTACTCAATTTCGAAATGTTTGGTTGCTTCGTTGTAAAGAAAGTTACAGTTTCAGTTACCGTAACTGTAACTGTAACTTTCTAAACGTCAACTTTAGTAAACTGAATTTTTGAGGAAGGAAGAGATCAAAATCAAAGGGTAAGACTTTGTGATGAGTCGTTTTTTTTCTTTGCTGCGCTGGCTTGAAATGATTTGCAAATTGATTTATTAATAAAATTGAGAAATATTTGAAATATTTCCGTTTTCCAAAAAAATGATAAATGACTGTGGTTATTTTTACGTCATCATATCGTGCGAAACCCAATTACTATCTGTTTGTCATGATTTGTGAACTGAAAAACTTATCTGTTTTGGTTCAAAACGTCAGGGTTGAGCGAAACAGATACTTGACTGAAAGGAAATCGTGTTTCGCTTGAGATGTTTTTGCATGGTGTCGACCGCTGTATATCGTTAGTTCTTCGATTTTCTCTGACGTTTTGGACCGTTTAAATGACCAAAAACTGATGGTCTTGTCTTGGAACCTTTTACCTCGGATCGTCAAAGGCTTGTCACACATCGTGTTTGTGATATTTTCTGGTCACGAGACCGGGGTTCAAAATGTTTTGTTTTGTTGTACGATATGTGTTGAATTAAAAAAAAAAATTTTTTTTTG